CTGACACAAGAGGAGATAAAAAAAAAGACCTGGAAAAACACTCTCTCAGATTCTAGGGACCCACAAACTGAAATAAACCAAGAATATTGTCCTAACTAAACCTAATGAAACATCACTGCAACCCACCGACACAGCTAACAAGATAAACGACTTCTCAACCATAGGTTCTAATCTCGCCAATAAAATCCCACGTACCAATGCCCATGCCGGGGACTACCTAGATGGGAATTTCCCAAATTCCTTCTATCTTGCTCCAACTGAGCCCACGGAAGTCACCGAGATTATAAAGTCACTTAAAAATAACTCAGGGAATCTGTCTCATGTCCCACCATTATTGTACAAGAGAGTGGCCCATGTCCCTCTCGCATACTATCTCATTGCTTTTTAACAAGTCACTAGAAGCTAGCACCTTCCCGAAACTACTCAAGACGGCAAGGGTTACACCAATACATAAAGGTGGTGACCCTACAGATTTAAACAACTATAGGCCAATATCAAACTTACCATTGCTATCCAAAATATTTGAGAAACTCGTGCACAGGAGACTATATTCATTTATAACGTCACAAAACATACTCAACCCCTGCCAATTTGGATTCAGGAAAAATAAAAGCACTAACGATGCAATTATAAAAATGCTAGATCTGCTTTACACAGCATTGGAAAATAAGGAATATCCACTAGGAATTTTTATTGACCTAAGAAAAGCTTTTGACACAGTAGACCACGGCATCCTACTCCACAAACTTGACCATTATGGTATAAGAGGCCATGCGCTTGCATATTTCAAATCTTACCTTACTAATAGGTATCAGTATGTCACCATTAAAGACACAGCATCAACAACACAGCCACTTGATACTGGATTCCGCAGGGAAGTGTCCTTGGTCCCCTGCTCTTCCTCATATACATCAATGATCTTCCAAACGTATCTCGACACCTGAACCCCATTCTCTTTGCTGACGACACGACTTATGCCATCTCTCACCCTAATCTTGCAACCCTCAACACCATTGTTAATGAGGAGCTGATCAAAATATCGACTTGGATGACAGCCAATAAACTTACGCTTAACACTGACAAAACCTACTACATTATGTTTGGTAGCAGAGCAGGAGATGCGCAAATTAACATTAAGATCGACAACACTCTAATTACCAGGCATAATGAGGGCAAATTCCTAGGCCTATACCTCGACAACAACCTGAACTTCAGCACCCATATCCAACACACAACCAAAAAAGTATCCAAAACGGTTGGGATCCTCTCCAAGATACAATACTACGTGCTGCAAACTGCCCTTCTCACACTATACCATTCACTTATATATCCATACCTCACCTATGCTATCTGTGCTTGGGGTTCAACTGCAGCAACACACCTAAAGCCAATAATAACCCAACAAAAAGCCACAGTAAGAATAATCACTAAATCCCATCCCTGGCAACACACCCCTCACTCTTCATAGATCTAAACTTACTCCCTGTTCAGTACATCCACACTTACTACTGTGCAATCTACATCTACAGGACCTTAAATTCCAATATTAACCTTGACCTAAAACGCTTTCTTGATAGTTGTGACAGAACCCACAGGCACAACACCAGACACAAACATCTCTATAACATTCCCCGTGTCCGACTAAACCTTTACAAAAATTCAATGTATGTCAAAGGCCCTAAAATCTAGAACACCCTACCTGAAAATTCCAAAACTGCAGACACATTCATCACCTTCAAAACTACCATCAGAAAATATCTTATCTCCCTGATACACCCTGTCAACTAATAATACAAATACCACCTGGTGGTTCACACTTACACTCACTCACCCATTTGACCATAAACAGAAATATCAATCTCAATCTCAAAATAATGAATCTTAACTAGTCAAAAGTTGGCCTGTGATACTCCAATACTGAAACTATGTATAGTGCCAAAACAAAAGCATTCACATTGCTAAACTCACAACTAGTATTTAGTCACTTAGCCATAATACCAACTTATCTCATAATTCTGTAACATTTTAAACCTAAGATTTAATATAAGTCTGCCCGAAATGCCTAGCCATGCTAGGCGTTCTAGTGGTACACTCTGTAATTATTATTTTACTACATGTAAACCACACAATAACCAAATTCTGTAAACTCAGCATTGTAATACTTATAGAGAATAAAGTTTGAATTGAATTGAATTGAAAAGGCAGCAGTAAGAATGATAACAAATTCCCACTCCCGCCAGCATACTCCACCGATTTTCAAAAGTCTGAATCTGCTCACCATTAAAAACACCCATACTTATTCATGTGCCTACTACATACACAGAACAATACACGCAAACATAAACCCTCCACTCGAAATTCTCCTCACCAACCTAAACAGGACACATGACCACAACACAAGACACAGATCTCTTTTTGATATACCTCGTGTCCATATCACACTGTGTAAAAACTCTATGCACATAAAGGGCCCCAAAATATGGAATTCATTACCAGAAGATATTAAAGTAACCCAGTCTGAAAATTAATTTAAGACTCTTCTCAAAAGCCACTTAATCACCCTAGACTAAATGCTAAATACTCAGTACACACTTTACTCACTTATGTCCTCCCACATCATAACTGAAACAATCAATTTGAACCTTTTATCCATTGTTGACCCGGTGGCCTGGTGGCTAAAGCTCCCGCTTCACACACGGAGGGCCCGGGTTCGATTCCCGGCGGGTGGAAACATTTCGACACGTTTCCTTACACCTGTTGTCCTGTTCACCTAGCAGCAAATAGGTACCTGGGTGTTAGTCGACTGGTGTGGGTCGCATCCTGGGGGACAAGATTAAGGACCCCAATGGAAATAAGTTAGACAGGCCTCGATGACGCACTGACTTTCTTGGGTTATCCTGGGTGGCTAACCCTCCGGGGTTTTTAAAAATCCGAACGAAATCTTATCTTATCTTATAACTGAATAATTGTTTTCTCAAAAAGTATATTCGAATATAAATATATCTTTGTATTATACAAATTTTGATTCATTTATAATTAATATTCTACTGTACAAACTATGAAATAATTATTATCCTACTGTACAACTATGATATACTCCTTAGTGTTAAGTAGACTGAGCCAATAATGTTAAGTTGGCCCATAATGCCAAGGCATAATAAAGGCTCTCTTTGCAATGCAACCCACTATTGTAAATACAAAATCTCAATGTACTGTTTGCAAAAACATAAAATAAATAAATAAATAAATAAATAAATAAATAAATTAGTCCTAGTTTATCTGAAGTACTCTGCCAATATAGGAGCTCCTATGGAAACAGTGTATCATGCCAAGATAAAACCATTCCCATTACTAAATTTACTAATGGTAATACGTACATACTGCTATACGTTATGAACTACCTCACTACTATCAATCTTATTAATGATAAACTTTTAATTACGTAACTTTTATATCAGTATGCAATAATGAACACTAAAATGTACTGCTCCATAACCTGTGTCAATATAGAGTAATCAGTAATAATTAGGATTAATCTGCCTGAAATGCCTAGGCACACTAGTGACTTCTTTTGTAATTAATATATTGCAATATGTAAACCACACATCATTTTCATTTTCAAATCATCAGGGATATTCCAGAATGAAGTAACTAGCAGGACTGTCCTCCTCTTTAAAAATGTGAAATATCTGGTACAAGAGTACATGTCAGCTCATTCTATGCTGCAAATAACTTATTGTTCAGCTATATGCAATGGGGTAAATAAATGTTAAAAATCTGAAAGGGTGTTTAGGCTTCTTACCTTAAACTGGTTATACAAGTTACCCAAGAATACCCAAAAAAAAAAAAAATGTATAAAAAGTTAAAATACTCCATAAAATTAATCAAACCCTTAAACTTAAAATACAAAAATATATGCAGTACTGAAAACGACGATATCAATGTGCATAAACCCATAATATTACCACAAAGAAAATTGCAGTTATAACAGGCTTACCATTTCCCAAAAGCTGTAAAGAAGAGGATGCTGGTTCAGTGGTGATGTTTGACTGTGCATACTCGAATATTACCAAAGTAAACAAATGTGCTGACTGAATGTTTCCTGCCTTATGGACCTACTACATCCCTAGCTGAGGAAATTAATCTACATTTACTGAACCTACTACATACCTAACTGAGGAAGTTCACCTACATTACCTGGACCTATTACATACCTAGCTGAGGAAGCTCACCTGCATTACCTGGACCTATTACATACCTAGCTGAGGAAGCTCACCTACATTACCTGGACCTATTACATACCTAGCTGTGGTAGCTGAGCTTCAGTTTCTAGATCTATCATTAATTGAGGAAGTACAGTACAACCTCCTGAGCTAGTTACTTCCTACATTCACAAACTACCAATGCACAAGCATGCACAGCCTCACACCACCAATGAACCTGTAGTTAATGTACTTGTACAGATTTTGGAAAGGTGTAAAAACTGGTTGTAACTGCAATGTATTTGTTATGCAGTACAATGTTTCATGATGATAGTGAAGTTATCACTGATAATATTCCTTAGTCCTGGGATGATGATGATATAATATTAGTAATAATATTATTATTATATAAAGCTAAGCACTAAACCCGAAAGAATAATACGGCTCATTATCCTATTAGTTCAGGAAGTCTGGTTAATTTTTGTAGTATTTTTAGGTATATTTTGAGTAACTGGTGTGGCCCTCCTAACGCGTAGTATAAATCATATATTTACCTTCTCTAAATTTCAGCTTTGAATAATACGTAAAAATTACAGTAAGTCGCAGAATAAGGCAATTTTATAAAATTCGTCTATAAAAGTCATAACAGTACGTACCATACAGGTAAATGTCGTGGGTTAGCTGGTTTCAGTGTATATTTGACTGAACTTTGAGTACTATAGCACTCAGAAACATTGTTTCGGGATTTACAGTTACTGTAGAGTGCTTATACATAACCAAGTTAGTGTAAATACTTACAGAGTTGGAGTAGATGTAGAGTTGTTTACTGTGAGTGAGTGTTAGTGTCAACCAGCGTTCCTCTACCACCTCACTCAACATACTTATAGGAAAAAAAAGTTGTTCAACCAACTACTCTCACACACTGATGGCATCTTCATAAAAATCTAAATATTGTGGTCATTTAAACTGAAGAAGACGTCAGTGTGTTAGTAAGGCAGTAATGAGAGTATTATGAAGCAGCAACAGCAGCTGGATGCTGCAGGATACTTCACTTACCATGACGTCACGATCTGCCTTTCCTTCAGTTATATGATGATTATTACGTTATTATATTTCTGGGGAGCACCAAACACGTAGGGATCGTACAGTGTCTGGAGTAACAGGAGGCATTAGGGTCTAATCCAAGGAAGGGGAAGCACAGGTCCAAATCCTTAAATGAAGAGCATCTCCCTGGCATCAAGGAACCTCCCCTGAGTTGTTACCTCAGATCAAACATCTAAGTCGAATCTGCACTGGTAAATTACAACATAAACGCCCTTATTAATTTTTACTCACAGAAAACACTAATTAGCTAGTTCCTGTTACTTAGAATGACCACTTAACTTCATTCTCTTAATTTCATGTAAATTTATTAAATTCTCTGGAACATTATGTAACATAACTTTTTAATAATTAGTTAATTGTAATTTTAATTTTACATCTGCCCGAAATGCATTCCATAACTATGAACTTTTCTAGGTACAATAAAAAATGTACAATGTAAAATATATTGTAATGGAGAGTAAATTTTAGTATTATACTTAGCAGCATATATTCCACCAGCACATGGTATATACACCAAGGAGTATATTTCTGTAAATATATTATTTTATTTGAATGTTTTTATTTCATGTGGAGCACTGACAATCTTAGCACATTTAATAAATAACCATAGGTGTCATACAGAACATGCAGCCACTATACTTTTAATGTTATAAACTGTACTTAAATATCTTTAACTAAACATACCACGGGTGGGTACTGAACTCGTGGCGAGTGAGTTTACAACTCACTCGCCACGAGTTCAATCCGCACCCGTGGAATGGTTTCTAAAGTCTCTTCGTCCACACTGGCTATCACTACTATATACCACACCTCCCCTCTCCGTAGGGAACATGAGGAAATTAGATTCAATCCAAGGAAAGAGAGTAGCTCATTTTTTTTTTTTTTGGGGGGGGGGGGGATCAAGCGTCCTTCATCGGCGTCTAAGCACCTTCTTTGAAAGGGTAATATATATAATTTTTAACACAGGCCGTTTCCCACTGTGGGAGGATCCCCCTACCTCCTCCCCCCCAAAAATACTATCATTTATTGAATGGTTCTTCTTCTTCTTATGACCAGAGCTTTGGTAAGATGGGTAGGAAGAAGGATGGGTAAGGATGGAAATATTGGAAAAGGGTGGGAGGGGGGGGAGAGGTGGGATAAAAAAGGTAAGTGGCCCAAACCCCACTTTGGTGTAATTTAAAAAGTTTTGGGAAAGAAAAATTTTTCTTTAAAGTGTATAATATAACCCATCAGAGTCACATAGATAAAAAGGAATAATACATGACTCGTTTTGGTAGTAATTTCAAGTTGCAATTGTTTTTTTTTTTTTTTTTTTTTTTTTTTTTTTTTTTGCGTTTGCAAAACGAATTTTTAGCGAAAAGAAGGGGCAAAAATTTTTCTGGCCATTTTAAAATTTCGTGACAATGGCTTCTTATAGGGGGTGCCCCCACCCATAGAAATAAAAAATTTTTACATTAGAAAGTTATATAAAGTCTCCCTTTTGGGGGCGATGATTTTCTCAGTATACATAGAAGGGTTCTGGTGGAAACCCAATCTTCTTCATCAGGGGTTTTCTCTATCAGGGGTCGGGGGTAATCATTTTTATGAAAAAAACGACGGACCCCTTTTGGGGAGTCTTTTCTTTGAGTCCTTGAGGAGGACTTGATGGTATAATCGTGGTATTTACCACTTTTATAGGTTTCTCTATCTGGATGTATATTCTTGCATTGTTAAAGTTTTTTTTTAGGGTGTCAAGGGGTACATTTATGGCAGTAATTCCGAAACTTTTTAAAAAAAAGACCCTGTCCCGAAAATCTTCCAGCTCCTGCCCCCAACATCTTGCTCCGGGGGGTTTTAAATTTTAAGGGACCTAAAAAGGGGGAATATAGCAAAAAAATTGTTTCGTATTTTAAAACCCGGAGGGAGCTCTATGAAAATCAACCCCACACGGCTTTTTAAAACTCTGCACAAAATTCAATTTAAACCAGCAATAATAGAGCCACTAACTGGAGAATAACTAACCTCATCTTCACAACAAAAGAGATCTGATAAGAAATTCACCAAAACAAAAACAAATACTCGATACAAAATAATTGAGGGTTTAGACATTATGGTGGAGCCCCAGACGACAAAATGAGACTAGTCACGAGGGGGCATTCAAACCAAATTTTAACTTCAATAAAAAAAACAAAAATGGGGCCAAGTAAACCAAGTCCCAACCGATAAAAAGCTGGAAATAACTAAGCAACACAGACCCAAACTTATGCTGAACAGATTAACGCGGTGGCACTCGATGTATGCACAAGGCTTATTCCTCTAAGAAAAAGGAGGAGTAGATTTAAAATAGAAAGAGACAGGCGCTCCCTTTACAGGCGACGGAAAAGAATAACAGAGCGGCTAAAAGAGGTCAATATATCTAAAATGCGCAGGGAGACACTGGTCAGAGAAATAGCAAGCATCAAAACTTAAGCTAAAAGAATCCTTTAGGAGTCAGGAATCGCGGGAAGAACTAAAAGCCATAAATGAAATCGAAAGAAACCCAAATATTTCTTCTCCTATGCCAAATCAAAATCGAGAACAACGTCCAGTATTGGGCCCCTACTTAAACAAGATGGGCCTACACAGATGACAGCAAGGAAATGAGTGAGCTACTCAAGTCCCAATATGACTCAGTTTTTAGCAACCCCGCTAACCAGACTGAGAGTCGAAGATCCAAAATGAATTTTTTATGAGAGAGCCACAAAATTTGATTAACACAAGCCTATCCGATTTTTATCCTGACGCCAAATGACTTCGAACAGGCGATAAATGACTTTGCCCATGCACTCCTGCCCCAGGGCCAGACTCATGGAACTCTGTGTTCATCAAGAACTGCAAGAAGCCCCTATCACGAGCCTTTTCCATCCTATGGAGAGGGAGCATGGACACGGGGGTCGTCCCTCAGTTACTAAAAACAACAGACATAGCCCCACTCCACAAAGGGGGCAGTAAAGCAACAGCAAAGAACTACAGACCAATAGCATAACATCCCATATCATAAAAATCTTTGAAAGGGTCCTAAGAAGCAAGATCACCACCCATCTAGAACCCATCAGTTACACAACCCAGGGCAACATGGGTTTAGAACAGGGTCGCTCCTGTCTTCCCCAACTACTGGATCACTACGACAAGGTCCTAAATGCACTAGAGACAAAAGGGAAAGCAGATTTTAATATAAAACAGACTTTGCAAAAGCCTTCGACAAGTGTGACCATGGCGTAATAGCGCACAAAATGCGCGCTAAAGGAAAACAGGAAAAGTCGGTCGATGGATCTATAATTTCCTCACTAACAGAACACAGAGAGTAGTCGTCAACAGAGTAAAGTCCGAGGCAGCTACGGTGAAAAGCTCTGTTCCACAAGGCACAGTACTAGCTCCCCTCTTGTTCCTCATCCTCATATCCGACATAGACAAGGATGTCAGCCACAGCACCGTGTCTTCCTTTGGGAGATACACCCGAATCTGCATTGACAGTGTCTTCCATTGCAGACACTGCAAGGCTCCCGGCGGACATCAACCAAATCTTTCAGTGGGCTGCAGAAAACAAAATGAAGTTCAACGATGAGAAATTTCAAAATTTTCTCAGATATGGTAAACATGAGGAAATTAAATCTTCATCAGAGTACAAAACAAATTCTGGCCACAAAATAGAGCGAAACACCAACGTCAAAGACCTGGGAGTGATTATGTCGGAGGATCTCACCTTCAAGGACCATAACATTGTATCAACGCATCTGCTAGAAAAATGACAGGATGGATAATGAGAACCTTCAAAACTAGGGAGGCCAAGCCCATGATGACACCTTCAGGTCACTTGTTCTATCTAGGCTGGAATATTGCTGCACTCTAACGCCCTTTCAAGGCAGGGGGAAATTGCCGACCTAGAAAATGTACAGGAACTTTCACGGCGCGCATAACGGAGATAAAACACCTCAATTACTGGGAGCGCTTGAGGTTTCTAAACCTGTATTCCCTGGAACGCAGGAGGGAGAGATACATGATTATATAAAACCTGGAAAATCCTAGAGGGACTAGTACCGGAACTTGCACACGAAAATCACTCACTACGAAAGCAAAAAGACTTGGCAGACGATGCACCATTCCCCCAATGAAAAGCAGGGGTGTCACTAGCACGTTAAGAGACCATACAATAAGTGTCAGGGGCCCGAGACTGTTCAACTGCCTCCCAGCACACATAAGGGGGATTACCAACAGACCCCTGGCAGTCTTCAAGCTGGCACTGGACAAGCACCTAAAGTCAGTTCCTGATCAGCCGGGCTGTGGCTCGTACGTTGGTTTGCGTGCAGCCAGCAGCAACAGCCTGGTTGATCAGGCGCTGATCCACCAGGAGGCCTGGTCACAGACCGGGCCGCGGGGGCGTTGACCCCCGAAACTCTCTCCAGGTAAACTCCAGGTCCAGGTAAATCTGCCATTTTAACTCTGTCTCTCCTCCTGGTATCGGTAATAAAGCGAAGAGCTCTATTCTGGACCCTTTGTAACCGTAGCATGTTGGTCTTTGTTGTTAAGGACATTGGGACACAAGGGTATTCGAGTACTGGTCTTATTATCATTTTATACAGATGTTTTTTGACATGTTGAGGAGATTGATTGAATCGAAAGAGACTGCTAAGACCGGCTTTGGCTATATTGATCTCTTTAGTTACATGAGATGTTGAGTGGAGCAGCCTGTCTATTTCATATCCCAAAATCTTGTTAGGGTTTCTAATGGCTACGGGTGTACCTCTGATGGAGATACCCCCTTTATCTTCAATTGTTGATGCAAAACATCCTATCGTGCTAACAAGGACCTTGTCAGGATTAGTCGTAATTCTCCATTTCTTTTCCCAATTAGATGTTCTACGAAGTTCAATATTCATTTTTTCTATGACTCTCTCATACTTGTATTTTCCTGTTACCGGAGTTGATGA